TGTATTGTATAACTGCCTCCTCTTCATGCTTCTGAAGCTTAGATGAGTTAGGGTGGGTATCGCGTCGTGGGGTTCTTCCAGCGCCTTGATGGCTAAGTGTACTTTGAGGAACCCTGTAGATAGCAGCAGCGCGTCGCTGGCTTAGTGACGCGTTAGATTTTATTGCTTGGGTAGCAAGTATAACTCTATCTGCACAGGAAAGTAATTCAAGATCAGGTTGTTGAGCCATTGTAATTAATAGTAGAAAGCGTTGTGGTCTTGGCAGAGTGATTCGCTCGGTGGGGTGATTCGCTCGGTGGTGGACCACGTTAATGATTTGCGTGTAGGTGGGATTGTGCACTTGGGGACGCGACACGCTCGCGATTGAGAAATGAGCTTAGTGATGATGCCGTCATCGCTCCTCAAGCGAGTCCCAACCTCCCAACCTCACCACATTTCCTTGCATTCATCGCACGAAGCCTCAGCCATCCTTGGCCAATCGTCACGTCGACTAATTCTCTCGGCACGATCCAGATCACCTTCTCAATGAAGGAGCACTTGCGCATCTCCTCACCGTTGATGTCTTGGTTTCTCCGTGAGGGCGAAGCGAATGCATCGCAAAGAGGGAACACCGCCGCCAGAAACCCCGGAATAAAGTGCTGATCTTACCCGCAATATGTGTGCGGAGCCCCGCATCCCAGATCAGCTCGTGTCGTGCCTGGCGGTTCGGCGAGTAATACCCCGGGGTAGCCTTGGCTCTGGATAAACAGCCAGTGAAAATTCTGGCACGATGCAGGTGCTATATAACATTGTTGCCGGGTTGTGTGATTGTTTGGTACCTCACTTTGAGATCTTTGTGAGCTATCATGGGTTTTGGTTCAGTCTCCTGCCAGTTGCTGCTGGCTGCCGCTTCCGTTTCTGCCAAATGGATCGTTCCAGGCGCACGATGGAGAGCTACTGATGGTACCCTAGTCAATGCCCACGCTGGTGGTGTGACAGTCGACAAGGAGACTGGCAAGTTCTTCCTGTTTGGAGAATACAAGATTCAAGGTCAGGTCGAGGGTGGAGGCGTCAGCGTATACAGCTCGGACGATCTGGCAACATGGACGCCAGAGGGCATGGCTCTTTGTAAGAACATCCAATTTCCGCGAAGAGGACCTGAGTGACTGATGTGAACGCTAGCACCAATCGAGGGTCACCCATATATCTCGACAGACCACATCATTCAGAGGCCTAAGGTCACCTTCTCCGAGCAGACCGGAAAGTACCACATGTTCTGGCACGCCGACAACTCAACCTACGGATGGCTTCTGCAAGGCTTTGCTCAAGCCGACAATATTACCGGGCCTTACTCATTCGTCGACGCTACGCTCCCACTTGGCAACTGGTCACAAGACTATGGTCTGTTCGTGGACCGCAAGGATGGAAGAGCCTACGCCCTGTACTCCAACGGCGACCGTCGTGAAGGACGTGACGTCTACCTTACTTCGTACAACGACAACATCACTGCTCTTGAAAAAGTCGTTCACCGATGGGATAAGTACGATCTCGAGGCGCCTACCATCATCCAGACCGATAAGAGCTACTTCGCATTGATGAGCCACAAGACCGGATACAGGCCCAATAACGTCGTTGCCTTCCGTGCTGACAAGCTTGAGGGACCTTGGTCGCAACCTTTCATCGTCGCTCCTCTCAACACCCGTACATACAACTCGCAGTCTGGATTTTCTCTGCGCATTGATGGCACGAAGAAAACAACTTACCTCTACCTAGGTGACCAATGGGACTCGATTAGTCTTTGGGAGTCTCGTTACATCTGGCTCCCTGTCGAGATCGATGAGGCCAAGAAGTCGCTCGAGGTCAAGTGGCACGATGTCTACGATCTGAACGTCAAGACAGGCGAGGTCAAGGCCATCAAGGGCAAGACCTACTACGGCAAGGACGCTACAGTTACTGGTGGCGCTTTCAAGCAGGAAGCTGCTTTCGGCAGCCACGAGATGATCTTGACTGGTATCGTCGGAAATAACAGCAAGGTCACCTTCTCCGGCATCGAAGGCCAGGGCAAGGCCCAATGGGTCTCGTTTTACTATCAAAACACTGACGATATGGGTTTCGGCGACCAGCCCGGAGGTACTCCAGACCGCATTGGCGGTACATGGCAACTGCGCCGTATCGCGAGCGTCATTGTCAATGGCAAGGCCGAGCAGATCGAGAGCTTGTACCAGAGAGACACTCACAAGGGCATCGTTTTGAGCACACCGCTGCAGCTGCACTTGGACAAGGGGAGGAACAACACGATTGAGATTGGCGGATTGTTCAACAACCAGACTTACAAGGGTGCTGACATCGACCGCATCGTCGTTTACCCACCAGAGGAATGAGTAATGGTGCTTAGAGTGCTTCATGATGGCGGAAAGTAATGTGAACATGTAATGCCACATGATCCTGATCTTCCAAGGGCTATTGTATCTTTCAACACTAATTAATAGACAGCACAAGCTTACAGACGAATCTGTGTTCTACGTAGTCCTCTTACGTCTGCTATTTCGAGCAGGGTTGCTCCTTGCATCGTGACAAATGGATCCTGAAGGATCGGCGCTGATATCCAACTTGATTGCAGGTGATGGTACGCTACAAACTGCGTTCAAGCGGAAAACTTTAACACATTCTACTTGCCTCGCTTCGCCTTACCCAATCTTCTTCCTCGGCTCCTTCGATACCTAACATGGTTGCAGTGTCCGATAGCGCGCCGTCTTCTCAACCACCTGCGCCTCCAATCATCGAGAAGTTTCCCAACCCCAGACAATGCTATCTGAGCGAGCTGTTTCCACCACCAGCGTACGAGGAAGCCTTAGAACGGCAAGCGCAAGCCAACATTAAAGTAAGTCAACAACATCCCAAACCCGCAAACCAGTCCAAGCTTATCTACCGCCAGGCTACACTCGCCAAGGACGTCCGTGCAAACCTCATGGTAGGTACAGGCCAGATCAAAATAATAATGCAAAGTTGTTGGAATGCGACAGCGACAGCAGCAACGTATGTGACCAAGGCGCGATCTGAGTCGTTCTCAAAGTCCCCTTCAAACATCCCAGCATGAAAGTGAAAATACCCAGAGAACAGCGCCTGAGAATAGGCAACAAAGGCAAGGTTCGCAGCGACGAATGAGACCTTGAAGACCGCAGTGCTGAACATAAAATATACCGGCAGGAGAGCAGGTGCGATGAAGGGAAACCCAATAAGTAGCAAATGAGACAGCACGGTTGTGTGGCAGAACAGCTCGGCGACTCTGAGGTTGGGATTGCGAGTGCAGACGCCAGTACGATGGCGCACAAATCGTTCTCCCTGCAGAGCTAGGCCATCAAAGAGCAGGACAATGAACGGGCGGAGCTGTGGGTGGCAAGCTGTCTGACCGGCGATAGATGCATGGACCACCCTGCTAAATCGCGATACGATCCAGCAATAAGAGAAGATGGCCTGTGTGAGCATATTGCTAAGAGCCATGAAGATGTCTTGCTTCGTTGACGTTCGTCGAAATAACTTGCTCCTGCAGTATGGGCACAGGTCGCCGGTTGGGCCGTTTACGATCTCATAGAGGCAGTCACGGCCGAAGATGTGGCCACAGGGCGAGATCTTGACGCCGGGGTGCTCGTCAGTGTACTCGTCCCAGCACTGCACGCACTTGTTGTTGTTGAATTTATCGTCATCTTTGGCAGGCACGACGTGCTCTCTTAGGAAAGTGGACTTGGAGGGTAGACCAGTGTATCTTTCGAGCACGGCATTGCCGATATCGAAGAGGCTCATCTTGGAAATGGTGAATTGTGTTCAAGTGGTTGTAGAAGACGGGAGATAGCGAGAGAAACGCATCATACTGTATAGTGCTTTGATCTGGAAAGACAAATTCCAAGACATTCAGTGGAATTTCTGGTAAATGCCTACATGATGAAGATTAGCAATCTCGGTGTCACAATGAAAGTGTGTGACAGTGAAACCATTAGAAGAATTCAAGAAATGACTTTTAGATAGTACCAAAAGGCGGGAGATTCCCGTGGATTGTTCCAGTACTGTGCTAATTTCAAAGCCACGGGGCGACAAGGCAGATACATATGAATTCCGGAAAAATTGACTTGTCGGTGTCCAGGGATTATTCGACTGCCTGATGATAGACTCACAGCACGGGCCGATTGCTCCGGCGACGCTAGCGGCAGCAGCAGCAGCTACAAAACCCCACAGCGCCCCGCCCGACTTTTTTCCTCCAACGGCCTGCCTCGCCAACGCTGCGTTTCTCTGTACCCACACAGACACTGCTTGCAGTCGTCCCACCCTGCAGATGAGAAATTCGGAGTAATCTTCAACTTTTGTGCTTCGGCACTACTGCCCGTAAGGGCCTGGCGTGACTCACGTCTGTACTCGGCATCAGAAAGCTCAGGGCCCAAGAAGCTGCGCGCAGAAATGTGAGCAGTGGATATGGTTTCCCTATGGGAGTCAGTGCGAAGATTGTGTGCTCTGCGGAGTGACACTGTAGTACAATACGCAGCGTGCCTGACTTCGAGTAGCTTCGGCGAAAGAGGAAGGGTATCATTCGATTCTGATTACTCTGGCGAGGCAGGCCGTTCACCACCTTTTTTTATGTAAGTCTGCGGCAGCGCCTATCTCTACTGGTTCTGGGATACTACTAACGAATGCTTTATACTGATTCCCAATCCCCAACGGTGCCCGCAATCCGACTCGAGGTTCCACCGCTGCCGTAGCCGGCAGCCTTCTCTCCTTTGCGGAAATGCTTGAAGTTTGCTTCCTCCGCCGCTTCTTTTGCGAACATGACATCCGTTCGCATGGTGTACTTCGTTCCACTCACTACGTCGTCGCCGGAGTGGAGGAGGAAGCTGTGCTGGAACATCAGCACACGGCCATACTTGGGTTTTACGTCGAGGCGCCTCTGCATGTCATATGAGTGGAAGGTGGTAGCACCACCCTGGAGCGCTTCCTGACCTCTGCTGTCGTCTGCATCGCTCAGGTACAGGTGCAGTGTGTAGTACGACCGCTCTTGTCCATCTGGCGTCTCGTACGTGCCGTCGCAGTGTGCTGCTAGATTAGCAATGCAGACAGCCATTAGGACCGTAATACATACGTTTGAAGTACTCCCCGCCTACGTACTTCAGAAATCTCATACGCTCGTTCAGCCTCGTCATCCTCCATGTCTCGTTTCTCTTTACAGGCCCATTGCCAGTGACGTGCGGCCGATTGTTCAGCTTGTGGATCTCAGGCACTGCGTCCTCAATTCTGGCCCAAAGCTTTGCTACGAGGTCTCGGTCATCCCAGATGATGCGTCCACATTTCCTTGTGTCCTCGTATAAAGCCTGCATGCCACCTCCAATGTTGATCATAGCGCGCTCCCAATTCGCATTGGTTGTCGACTCGGCTGCGGCAATGAATTCATCACATTCTTTTTCTGACAGCACGCCATCAAGGACTACAGCCCAGAGGTCATCGTATGCGGGGAGGATACGCTCCTTCCTCAGGTCAATGTCAATCCGGGTCAGGTTAGGCGCAGGGCCTGAGAGAAAGCCCTCGGGCAAAGTCGGTGGAGCCATAGCTGCGGTTCTTAGTCTACAAGTAGGTTGACAAACAAATAAACAATGTCTGGATCGACAGAATGAACGACCTATGACAAGACGTATCATGCATACAGTAGCGGTCGTTCAGTGCTTTATGTGCGAGCTACTGGGCTGAAAGCTGATGCCTGGTAAGGCTGAGCATTCAGAGAGGTCGAGCCGTTGGCGTGACTCCACGTTGACTGCGCAGCCGTGGAGGCGTTTGGGCTGAGCGAGAAAACAACCTACACTCATGCGTCTGCATCTGTACCGTAGAACTGCCTCCAGCGTGGTAAGGAGCGACGACAAAGCGGCAGCAGCTACTGCAGGAACGCGGTGACGGCTTCCCTTGCTTTGTCTGGGGCTGGGGCTCTCCACGTCTTCTACTTAGTAGCAGCTGAACGTGCAGTCCACTTCACTTCATCACTTCACTTCGTAGCCTTACCACGAGTCGTGCGCAGGACCGTTGCACTCATCGTTTTCACTGATCACAATCGCGTCTGCAAAATTCGCCTATTGCGACGCGCTGCGGCTCTTCTTACTCCGGTGGAGCGATCAACGGGTGGCTGACATCAACCCATCCCTGTTGCCGCGCCAAGTCACTGCGCAACCACGTCTGGCCTAATTTCCCAGCTTCACTGCCGATTCTCACGTCGATTGGGGCGCGCAAACACGCCAACGGCCCCGCGACGCTCACTCACCACCTGAAGATTCCTTTTTCGACCTTTCGCTACCTCGTCACTCGCTCACCCGCCGCTGTCCGCACGCAATTACTGTGGGCCCACGCCCTTTCCCGCCCAACACCGCGTCTATCGATAGCCTCTATTCTTCGACCTCCTGCGTCACGATCGCGCGCCTCTCATTACTGTAACTTTTCGAAAACACCGCTGCCATGTCTGACGACATCGAGCGACCGCACCACAATGCGCAGACCATCGAGCGCAACCGTTTCCCAACTCTGTTCGAAGTGTTGAGCCGCAAGACGGTGGCACCGCTGGACCTGTTCTCCTTCTACATCTACATGCGCGACCAGCAGCGCTCAGTCGACTACTTGGACTTCTGGTAGGAATCATACGAAAAACTGCAGTTCAAGCAGTCGCTAACAAACAACAGGCTCGACGTCTCCCAGCATCTTCAGCTATGCCGTCTGTATGTTAGACGCCTACACAGGAGTTTGGTCGAAGACACACCGGAAATTGAGAAAGCGTCGAAGAGGTCTTCATTCATGCAGAATTTCGACGATGCTGGAGAGGGCCCGTCGAACGAGAAGGACATGCTACAGGAGTCGCAAAGGTTGTCGCAGTACCTTAGATCGGACCGACCCAGCAGAAACCATTCGCCGCAAAATAGTCAGGGGAGCAACCAGAGCCACGATCCTCCACGCCCCAGCTTCGCTCAGACACCGGGAGACCCGACTTCGCCAGGACAGCTTTCTTCTGGCGACAACTCACAGCCCCGTAGGGAGGACTTGCGCGCATCAGCAGAGAAGATTCTCTACACATATTTGCTGCCTGGGTCGGAGAGGGAGATCATCATTCCGCAGAGCATCCTGAACGACGTACAGAATGCTATTGAAGGACCTGAGCAGCGTTCAGACCCGGAACTGTTTGACCAAGCTAAGGACTATGTCTTCCAAGCTATGGAGCGAGACGCTTTCCCAGGATTCCTGCAGAACAAGGGTCTCGGAAACCTGGTGCCGCAGAGCATGATGATCCGGCTCATAGTAGGGCTGATCAGCTTCTTTGCTGCGGTGTGGGCGGCGTTCATTCTCATCTTCCTCGACAAGTCGCGCGCGACCAGATGTTGGGTATGTCTAGTTTGTGTCTTGCCATGGATGCTCGTGCTAACTAGTGGCAGCTCATTCTTCCATTCTTTATCGCCATCTACCTCATCATCACACACCAGTACATGCTCGACCCGCTTGTTGCTATAGCCGGGTACAGCGAGTACACGGTGTTCGACTTCAACAAGATCAGAGAGAAGTTTGTGCAGAAGACACTCACTCGGCGCGCCACTACCGTGCTGGTGCTGTTTGGCATCGTGCTGACTGCAGTCTGCTGTCTCTTTATCTTGGTTCCCGGGAAGCGACTATGAGCATGGTCGTTTGTCTGCAATGTTTAATGCCCATTTCTTAATACCTGGCGTAGTACATTTTAATCGGCTCAGCGGGCCGCAAAGGAGGGGGACGGGTGGATTTATCATCGAGTGTATGCGTGAGGAGTATTGGCTGCGCGCTGTGTCTTTTGTTTTCTTGGATTGCGGTTCCTCCTGAGCACGGCGTTCGGGTTGGTCAGTGGATAGTTGCGCAAGGCGTATCAACTCAATCGTATTCTGCTGTCTATAATGAGCCGAGAGCGTGAGAAATGAGGGTGTACAAAATATGGTCAAGTGTCTGGCCTCGAGATAGCTGTCCAATCGCGTTCCCAGCCGTTGGCATGTGGAGCTGAGGCAAGGCTGCATCAAAGAGGGCCCATGCACGGCCATAATGACGTGCCGCGGCCGAAGTTTACAAAGTACGCATCGAACGAACTGCAGCCGGGTCAATCGCAACCAGCACTCTGACTGCCTCCAGGGCCGAACAGCGCTGCCACGATGAGCGCACCCACGGCGAAGAGCAAGCGAGGGCCGACGGTGCTCATGAGCGACTCGCGCGATGTGGCGCCGCGCCCGCAGCAGCGGCCATCGTCAGCGCTGCAGCGACAGGCAACGGGCGCGCGCCTGATCAGCGTCGACAACATCCTGCAGTATGCCTCAGACATTCCCTCGCAACAGCGCCGCGGACCGCCAGGCGTGCGCCCCTCCAATCACAACCGCACGCCCAGCGGCCGCCATCCGCTCGACCCCAAGCTGTCCGGGCGGCTGATTCCCGCGCACATGCCGACGCGCTCGTCCAAGCTCAGCGAGAAGCTCGTGCTGCTGCCCGAGACGAACGAGCTGGACGAGGATGAGGTCGGCGAGTTCGACGAGGACGAAAGCGCCGGGCCGCCCACCGACGCCCAGCTCGCGCGCCGCAAGGTTGGGCCCACGGACAAGAGCTATGCAGAGCGCCTGCCCAAGGCCCGCCGCACCGACAAGCTCTCGCGCGTCACGGCGTACTGCACCGCCCAGGCCTACAAGATGAAGAGCACCGCCGCCTTCGTCCGCGACACGCACCACGCCCGCACCAAGCTCTACGATGATTGCCTGTACTGCGTCTACCACCTGCCGCTGCTGCCCGCCAGCGACGGCTACCGCGTGCGCAGTAGCCCGGCCCTGAAGTCGCCGGGCGGCAAGACGGTCCTCGACGAGGAGATTGAGCGCAACGAGGCCCGCCACCACCAGGAAGGTTACTTTGGCGACGACGAGACGTACTACGTGCGCGACGACGACCAGGCCTCGGACGAGTCGCCCAGCTTCCTCTCCCACGCGAACAGCACCCGCGACCGCCGCGACTCGGACTCGGCCACCCGTGTCCCCCCCAATGCCCTGTCATTCGGCGAGATGTTCGTCTTCAGCTACGGCGTCGTCGTCTTCTGGAACTTCACCGAGAAGCAAGAAAAGGACATTCTCGCCGACCTCACCTTCAGCTTCAACCACACAGGCATCCAGATCGCCACGCGGCCGCTGACCGAATCCGACTTTGAGACGGAGGAGTTCCACTTCGAGTACAACCCCGAGATCCCGCGCCCGCGCGTCTACAACGACATGATCACCCTCAAGAGCGGCGACCACATGATCAAGCTCGCCATGAGCCACGCCATCGCCCAGAGCACCAAGCTCAGCCTGTTCGAGGAGGGCATGAGCCGCACCATGCTCGCCGCCCAGTACGTGCCCAAGCGGCTCGCGCTGACGGGCAAGCTGGGCATGCGGCGCACCGACGTGGTCAAGATGATTGGACAGCTGTTCACAAGCCGCGTGGACGTCAATTTGTGTATGTCTGCCTCTCGTATATCCTCATATTCTCACATCCTCCACATCCCCCACACACTAACAAACACAGCGTCCAACCTCCTCGATGACCCGGCCTTCTTCTGGGACTCTGAGCCCACGCTACACCCCCTCTACACCGCCGTGCGCGAGTACCTCGAGATCAAGCCGCGCATCCAGGTCCTCAACGAGCGCTGCCAGGTCTTCCTCGACCTCGGTGAGATCCTGTCCGACTCCATCAGCGACAAGAAGATGACGCGCATCACCTGGATCATCATCTTCCTGATCGTCGTGTCCATCTGCGTCACGTGCCTAGAGGTCATACTCCGGTTTGCCATTCTGAATTCCAGGAAGGGCGTCGTGCCCGTGCAAGGCGACGGCGTCGTGCTGCAGATGGGTGGTTCCGCGCGGCTGGGCGGGCTGGATAGGGTGGGGTATGCGGGCCCGAGTTTGCTGCTGGCGAGGGGGTTGGTATGGGTTGTCAGCCGCGTGAGGGGCGTGTTTGTGTAAGAGCCAGGGGTCTGTAGCATAGCGCTGGCGTTCTTGGCTTATTTGTACATACATATCGAAGCACTGTCCTCATCCAATGTTCTCTGTACATACATCTCGAGTCCACTGTTCTCATCCACCCACACATTTTCCTCCGCCATCGCACCATCCCCCCTCCCGCTCACTCTGCGGCCCCAATCTCCCCAAATCGCCTTGGAATCCATGTCCTCACCCACCGGCAGCCCAAGCTGCTCAACCGCAAACCCACTCGCCACGGCCCCTAGCACAGCGCCGCCCCCACACTCCCCTCGTGGAGCCGCTCCACCCCATCACACAGAGGCCGAGAAACGCGCTCCCGGCCCCCGTCACATCGACAGGCAAACGGACATGTCGAGGTACAGTTGAATGAATCGAGACCTTGTTGGCAGTTGAAGTGTTGTTCATTCACCGAATCCATGCTGTGCAGGCTTAGGACTATAGTACGCTAGGGGCGGAACTTCAAGCGTGGAGCGACGCCGTGGCGCAACAATGGTGATAGCATCTGTGTCTGATTCCAGCCGTGGCGAAGTGTCTGGCGGGGGTGACGGGCTCGGTTCGCGCGCAGATGCGATGCTCAATGCGTACTCGCTGGCCGCTCTTCGTTTCTCGGCGTAGCTGGTGCTCGTGCGATGTATGTGCTTGTTTTTCAGTTCCTCACCGGGAATCCACGGGTACCTGCGCGCTTTGGGGTTGTCGTAGTCGGCCACGTCGAGAGAGCGGTGGGCGGCGTCGCTCATGTATACGCTTGCTTTCTCGAACCAGTTGCGCACTTTGCCTCGGCCAGCATTGAAGTCGGATTTGGCTGTGTCGGTGCGTGTGCGCACGGTTTCGATGTGTTCGTCCGGACTGGGTGCGCGGCTTGCCCCTGTGATGGATATCTGGAGCGCGTCTAGGTCACTGGACAGGCGTGGGAAGGTTTCAGTTCCCGGTGTGGTTCTTGTCGGGGAGTACTGCTGGGTAGAAGAGCGACCGCGCGTTTGAGGCCGCTCGCTGTGGTTTGATTGCGAAGACACGGATCTTGGCGCTTTTGGCTTGTCGTACACGATGATTTCGCCATCTGTGGCCCATACGATGTATAGTGAACCCAACGCTGCCATCAAAGTGCCTGCAATGGGCGACCATTGTCCTACTAGACTGTAAGCTGGTCCGATCAGGTGAAGATGGGAGACGTACCAATTGAGGCCATCGGTTCGGTCTGATATATCAGTTGCTTACTGAAGAAGTTGAGCTCGCCGGCAATGAGGATGGCAATCACAGCCCCGCCAAACAATGGGATCTCGATGACTGTCAAGAAGAGCCTGACCTTGTCGTTGATTCCTTTGATTTCACGAGGTGTGATGTTGACACCTTCGATCTGCTCGTCGGGTCGCGCAGGATCACTCCGCTTTTTCCAATTGATCGCAAGTATCTTGTCCCACGTGAAGATCAGGCTGATAATGGCTGGGATGCAGACCCCTGCAGCGATGAGCATGGCCGCGTTGAAGCTCACCCTACTGGGAACGGGTATTACATAGATGTTCTTTGCAGCGCCTCCTCGCATGGGCGAGAAGGGACCATCGTCTTCTGAACAGACTAGACCGCACGTCGTCTCTCCATAGGGAAATCCGGCGCGAGTCAAATAAGGGACTTCAGCTTCCTGATGACTGCAGTCGGTCGCCGTCACTCTCGAAAACTCAACGCACAGAGCTATGAGGCCGGCGACCAAGAGCATCGTCCACAAGAAGATGATGTTGCGACCGGCATCGTAGAAGTACGTCCGCGATTTTCGAAGGGTAAACGGCACAGCGATGATGGCGATTGAACATATCTGCCAGGCTCCGTAGATGTCTAGGTCCACTGCGCCTAGAAATGTGGACGTTAGCCCTGTCTTGACGACCACGTTGGTTGTCTTGGGGTAGGTGTCGAACTGACCATTCACATGGAAGGACGTGAGCACGATGCCATGAAGCGCACTAATTGAGGGGACCACCAAAGCAGCCGCAATACAAGCATTCCTTAGCCACTCATGTTTTCGTAGGAACACGCAGGTGGCTACAAGAACGTAGTATCTGTGGGACACACGTGAGCTATCTACAGGCGGACATGATGCGATCGGCGTTGAACGTACAAGAATCGCGACCCGGCGCCGTACTGTGAGGATACCGGCCAAGCACAAACGACGTCTAACGTTTGCCCAGTAGCATTATCGGCTGAGCCTGCGCTTCTCTGTAAGAGAGCGCTGAACAGCGTTGGAGTAGCCGGCATGACTGCAAGCGTGCTACCCTACCAGAGAGAGAAGCCAGTATACAGCTGCAAAAGGAATTCACATCGCTAGAAATGCGTGAACAGAGGGAGTGAGCCTTGTGGGAATGATATGGGAGATGTGCGAAGTGAGGCTCGCAGGCGACGTGCCAACTGATACCGAATCCATCATCGCCGGTGAGAGAGTTGGTCGTTCGCGCGATGCAGGGATGGTGGCTGAGTCTTGACGCCTGACCGAACTTGGGAGTGAAAGGGCGCGAAGTGACATCGTTGGCCCGTGCTGCCACATCGGGCGTTCGTTCTTGTCAGAAACTTGGCGCTGCGCCCGATGCGCAACTGAAGTCTTGGTAAATCTTCGCAGGAGCCTATAGACACTGCCATGCCTGCGTCGCATTGTCGCACTGTGAAGCCCTGCAGTTTGCGACGTTGGCCGACTTTCTCTCCGGCCTGAAACGCGTTGCGCGCCCACCAAATCGTGGTTGTTGCGCAACCATTTGCTTACGCCAAGTCAAAGAACATAAACGCGGGATTGAAGCGTTGACAACGGCAAAACCAGCAACTTAAAAGAGAAAGGAAGCAAAAGCCAACCAGTAGCCGCCAGGCAGGATTTCACTGGCCCCCAACGTTCCAAGCAGCCATGGACAAGATCTACGACCGAGCTGAATCTTCAGGCTTTGAGGGCATCGACGTTACGACAGGCAAGATCCGAGAATGGCGCTCCATCATAACTCTAATCGTTTTTGTTCTTACGAGTATGTTCTATTTCCAAAGTTAGCAATGAATATGAACTAAGCTGTATTCCGACAGATATCAACGTTCTCTTCAGTTTCCATATACCCCTGTACCTGCCTCGAGCTTTGTGGACGGGGTGGCTCAAAACTTTGAGTGCTTTGCGCATCATAAACCCGCCATCAAACGATGACTTCTCAAGACGCACGGGGCCTGGCCCCTTTGTGCGATTCAACTTCCCCATGAACTTCGTCACATCGCCGCTTATAGCTGACTTGTTCCTGCTGGCCATCACAGCCATTGGCAGGGATGAAGTCTACGGCGGGACCATTGGGGCCAACAGCATCGTACCCTACGACATCATGCTGTTCTTCCTGTCGCTGGCGTACATTGCAATTTCCGTCGACGCATCCGGTCTGATTAGGTGGCTTGCTTTCAAGGTGCTGCAAAAGGGGGGCAAAGTCGGTCATCGACTTTACTTCTACCTTTACGTCTTTTTCTTTGCCCTCACAGCCTTCATCGGGAATGACCCCATTATATTATCTGGTACTGCGTTCTTGTCTTACATGACGCGCGTGTCAAGCAATATAAAGCACCCTCGGGCTTGGATCTACACCCAGTTTGCATGCGCAAACATCGCCTCTGCCATTCTGGTCTCATCGAATCCTACCAACCTGGTACTGGCTGGAGCTTTCCAGATCAAGTTTATCAAGTACACAGCCAACATGATCGTACCAGTCGTTGTAACTGGTGTTGTTCTATTCCCTTTTCTTCTATACATCATCTTCCACGATGAGGCTCTCATTCCTTCCTCAATCAAGATGGAGGACCTGCCCGATGAGATCAAGAATAAACCACCAGTCAATCCCAATATTCCTTTTGCCAAAGGCGAGCCAGAGAACGCGGATGAAGATGCTACCGATGGGGACGAGCAGAAGCAGCTCTCACTTGAGGAGATCCTGAACCCCTTCCTCGACAAGAAAGGTGCAATCTTTGGCGCTAGTCTCATGGCTGTGACATTGATTGCAGTTCTTGTCATCAACGCCGTTGCTCAAGGCACCCACGAATGGCCGGTATTCTACGTTACCTTGCCAGCAGCATTTGTTCTGATCATCTTCGACCTTGGTCTTGGCTGGACGAACAGGAAGGAGACGCGTAGGATTGCTCAGGAAGGCCGACGAAGAGCAGAAAACGTTTATGCCGAAAGAGCAGAGAGGAGACGATCCATAGTGCAGGAAGAGCCTGGTATGCTTCGAAATGGCGAATCCTTCAATACCAACACCAGTATCGACGAGAAGACTCAAGCACCACCCGCGATAACATCGAACCAGACCTCCAACGAAACACTGCAGCCTACCATAAACAAAGAGCCAGGAGTTAGCAAAGAAAGTCGTCTCAAGCACCTGACCCTGAAGAAACGTACAACGCTCGAATCCGTCATCAACGAAAGATATCAGTGGGCCAGGGAGACGTTCCCCACGACCATGACTGTCTTCAACCATCTGCCGCTGCCTTTGCTACCCTTCGCATTCTGCATGTTCGTCTTGGTGCAAGCGCTCGTTACAAAGGGATGGGTTCCGGTGTTCGCACACGGCTGGGATCACTGGGTGGGGAAAACCGGGACAGTAGGGGCGGTTGGCGGGATGGGGTTCCTCTCCGTCATTTTATGCAACGTAAGTTTGACTGTCCATGTTGTTACATCTCTGCTAACATCAATCAGTTTGCAGGCACAAACATCGGCACCACAATCCTCCTCTCCCGAGTCATCCAGGCCTGGCAGAAAATCCACCAACTGAACGGGGTACCGATTTCCAATCGGACCTTCTGGGGCACAGTGTACAGCATGGCCATTGGCGTCAACTATGGTGCTTTCAGTCTGGCGTTCAGCGCCTCTCTGGCGGGTATGCTTTGGCGCGACATCTTGGGTCGCAAGCACATTCGCGTTGGTGGGCTTGAGTTCGCCCGTGTCAACTTGCCCATCATTGCCATTACGATGGTGGTTGGCCTGACCGTACTCATCGGCCAGATCTACATCGTAAGAGATACATCTCCTTACAACGCGCGATAGATCTCAAGAATAATCTGCAGGAATTAATGTTAATCTCGCAAATATCTCCGTCTCATCAGTCTACCAGCTGCAAACAGCGACGTTCTCCCTTCTGATCTTGTTATCGGTCATACCAGCATCCTTCATGCGAGATAGACTCACTCGACTTTTCCTGTGTCGCACTCGGCCTCACATGGGGGATGGGAAAGCTTCTGACACTTACCATTGTTTCCCTCGCTTTCAGGACAACGTTGGTCATGCAGAACACACATGGCCACCTTGACGTACTCCTCTCCTTTATTGGTTTCTAGTCTTTCGTGCAGCTTATCGAGGGCCATCCCGCTGATCTACCACCATGTTGGAAAGAAAGAGTCGCGAAACATAGTCGCTGTGGGCGGGCGAAGTCATCCCTGTTACCCGCGTCCGCAATGAAAGAATAAAGGAACGACATGAGCTTACCTCTACGGGGCGTGTGATTTATCGCGCTGCAGATCAATAAGATCGGAACATAACTCTCAGCGATCACTTTGCACCCTATCAGAATGATTACGGCATCCGTCAACGTAGGTACGATGCGCATGCCGGCAAAGGCGAGCAGTTTCACAGGTATCTCGAAGCTCAGCGGAACGGCATCACCTCGGAGCTTTGGTGCGCCTTCCTCCTGTGTCACCTTGCCTGGCTTCCTCTCATCCGCTGTGAGTCGAATGGGCATTGATTTTATTCGAACGATGTAGCCAATGTGTGGGGTCAGGTGCGCGTTGTCGATTAAACGTCCAGTATAGATGAAGCCAGCCTTATCAAAGTTGTATACGTCCTTATCCAGGATACCATACTTAAGCTTAGTGTGCTCTACTAGCTCAAACTAGCTCCTAATTAACACAGGATTTGCACACAGAGCTCTCTGCCTATCGTACGCTCGATTGAAGCGTGTTTTAAGGCTCTCTGTACGCTTAACAAAATTGGCTGGCTACTTCTACCTAACCTAGCCTCCACTGCGTGTAGCTAGCAGCTTATCAGCCATATCACGTACAGCTGCGTACGTACGTGCAAATCCACGTTGATCTAGATTGAGTATGTAACTAACAATTACCTCCTCTTCTAGCTAGGTGAGCTTCTTTGAGTTGGGCTGGCAATCGCGTCGGGAAGAGATGCCAGCGCGTCGGCGGTGGAGCGTTCTGTCAGCTACATTAAAGACTGCAGCAGCGGCGCGATTACTATGGAGTTGTTTGGCATTAACAGATGAGATAGCAAGCTGAATATCTGCTTCGTTTGAAGTCATTTAAGTAGCGTTGGGTGGAGTTATTGCACGTAGGTGAGATGGCCGCGCAAGCTTGGTGGGGTGCGGCGCTCGCTTGCCATACCGTGGCCGTGCGGCCGATGAGCCAGTTCAGCCGATGAGCCACCCCAACGAGATATTAGCGATAGAAAAATGAAGCTGTAGAGCCACACTTAAAAGCTATTATTGTGAGAAAAGTTGGTGTATTGCCATACAGGGCCTTGCGCTTCAATTGTGCCATTTATATTTGGCTAGTAACCGCGAGTTGCGGCCTCTTGCAGTAATTTTAGGTGGGAGAGACGCAGCTGGCGGTGCAGCGTTAACACAACTTTAAGTAACGTACCCCACGGGCGAAAGAATCAACGGGTGTGAGAATCACTTTTGCCAAGCCCCCACCAAACCACTCTTCCTACACCAATGTCTTTGTAAAGTTATAAGACTTTGTTCTTATAATCTTTCTCTAGCGTATTTCCTTCTTAGGTATAGCGCTATGCTTACCTAAGCATTGTTATTATAATCTCCTAAAAGAGAGGATTAGAATAACGTACTCCACAAGCGAGCTGGCCACCCAAGCGAGCTGGCCACTTTTGCCAAGACTACACCGAACTTCACTCTCCCTGTAATGCCTCAACGCAACAACGTAAAATAGCCTTTAAATAAAACAGATATATAGCTTGCCCTCTAGGCTATCTAGCAAGACGCAACACTAAGCGTGCAACACGCTGCAGTAATATACTAGGTCTCTTAAAGCACCCTAGGCACACGCCTTACTAAAACCTCTTTATAATATAATTGTAACGTAAACCCCCAGCACCCAGGCCAACCCAGCACCCGGGCCAAAAAAGCTTGGCAGTACCAACTCACGTTACAACTCTTCAATTTCATTGCTATTTAACATAGAGCCTGCGTACACTGTGCTTGTATCTAATTTAGAATATGCCTCTATATCTTTTTTACACGTTCGCGCGTTGTGTCTAGTCCCTCCACAGTTTCTACAGTGCTGTAGAGCTAGTTAAGCTTGTTCTTGATTACTACTACTACAAGCCTTCTTTGACTGCTCAGCAGCTACAGAGGCCTCTGCAGCCACCTGAGCTGCTGCCTCACCATACTCCATAGTACCACCTTGCTAGATCTACTTCCTTTTGCGCGATTTCTGCTTAGTTATTACTGCTAATTGCTCTTTAAGCTTAGTAATCTGGGCTGCTTAAAGCGCGTTCTGATGCAGCATAAGCTCGCCACCTCTAACAAGCTAAGAGAAGCCTGCTTGCGCAGTAATAGGTAACTAAGTAAAAGACTTACGTACAAGCTTTAACTAAGATCTAAACTTGTAGGTATTACTTAGAGTCTTTAACTGCCACAGCATCTCTAGGAGGAGGGGTTCTAGCAGGGTACGCAGGCGCACTTTAAGGTGATCTAACACAACCTGCGTGTTAAGAGGGACTAGCCCTGCTGCCTTAAAGGCCTTGTAACAGTTCTCTGCTATAAACACATTAAAAAACGCGTCCTTAAAGGCAGGGAGGAAGCCTTCTTTGTTAATATAGAAGACATGCTTGTGTGCTAAGTCTTGTACACGCTAAGAGTACTTGCACTTTAACAGCAAGAAGTAGACTATATTAAGTAGCTAGAGGATGTGCAATAAGTAAGGTAGTATGCAGAGGGTAAGGATTATGTTTTTAAGGCAGTAGTCCTTAAAATCCTAGTTAAGGTGGCTCTTATGGCCGTCCAAAATGAGCAGCCTGTACGCCCCCACCTGGCTCGCCTTTGTATGCGCGTCGAAGTGCTTCAGCCACTCAAGGCCGAGCGCGTTGTTCGTCCAGCCGCTCTCGGAGACGGAGAGCTTCCAATTGCGTGGTATATCTGCCTCCTCGTACCAGGCAGAGATGTGAACGCGTCCTTTGTAGATAATAAAAGGCAGGGTACAAGATCTAGCAGCGCAGACGCTCTAGATGACTGTTACCTACTCGCAATCACCTGGCTAAACAAGCTAAGGTTAATTATGTCTCTCTGCGCCTGTAACAACCTTTATTAAGCTAATAACACCTATCTAGAAGCTAGTCTTGTTAAAGTTGTGCATGTTGTGGTCATGTACGCTGTATTTAGCTTTTGTGTCCTCTACTAGCTTAAACCACGCGCTGATTGTCTCTAGATCCTCCTGCAGCATCCTCTGCCTATCTTTAGCTTGATTGAAGGCCATCTTAAGCGTAGCTGAACGCGTCACGAAGCGCTCAGCCTAGTGCTTGCCAACAGGCTGCCCACCACGTACACCCAACAGTTTGTTGGCCATATCTGCCACCTCGCACAGCTAGGGCGCGAATCCTCGCAAATTAAGGTCAAGAATATATTGTACAATTGTTTGCTCTTTAGTGCGCGTAAGCTTATGTTGTGCGTTGTGTCTATTATTAATATAGAGTCTGCCTCTATACCTAGCACTTAAGGTTGTACATAGTATGTTAAATACCTAAGCAGCGCTTTAGAGGCTTTTAAATTTATATAATTAGAAAGTAGAAAGGGCAAGATTAATTCTACCCTCTTATTTAGATAATTGTGTATCTTGTTAGCAAGGCATTACGTGTTAATATTAATAGTTGTGGTCTTGGCAAGAAATGGCCTAGGTGCTGGGTTGGCCTGGGTGCTGGGGGTTTACGTTAAGCCTAATATAATAAGGATAACTAGCACTAAGGATAAGGTAATTGTCTAGCATGTATTAAAGCTAGACAAGCAAGGATACCTACCCTAGCTTGCTAATGTAGAGGATATAGCGAATTCTCTGCTTGCTAAGCACCACTAGCCCTATATTAGCAAGAACTAGGCTGCTAACTTTATAAAATATTATCTAACGTAGATTATCACCGAGCCAGCCATATCACTAAACTAGCCACTTTCTCTTAGCACAACCACCTTTTACCCTAACACAATATGCCTTAATAATAATAACTTTAGAATACTACTAGAGAAGGTAGAGTTATCCTTGCTATCTAGGCCTTCTATGCTAGCTAATTTCGCAGTATCTACAGCGCTGCTAGAGTGTTAAACGTACCTTATTAGCAGGTCTCTAATTACCTTTGCAATATTACGTTTTAACTAGACGTACGCGCTAATTGCTAGAAACTTACTATGCTAGAGGAGCAGACAATTATCTAGTATATACTTAACCTTAATTCGCAAGGATTTGCGCCCTAGCTATGTGAGGTGGCAGATATAGCTAATAAGATACTTAGTGTGCATAGTAAAGAGCCTGTTAGCAAACTATAGGCTAGCAGGCTTGTAACACGTTTAGACAAGCTTAAAATAGCCTTTAATTAAGCTAAGGATAGACAGAGGATACTATAGGAAGATCCTAAGATAATTAGCGCGTAGTTTAAGCTAGTAGAGGATACTTAAGTTAAGTATAGTATTTGTAACAACAACATGCACAACTTTAATAAAACTAGGTTCTAGATAGGTGTTACTTTGTCTTTAAAGGTTGTAACAGGCTTAGAGAGACGTGCTTAGCTAGAGCTTGTTCAGCCAGGTGATCGCGAGTAGGTTACTGTTATCCAGAGCATCTGCGCCGCTGGGTATGCAACCCTGCCTTTTATTATCTACAAAGGACGCGTCTATATCTCTGCCTAGTATAAGGAGACAGATATACCCTACAATTAGAAGCTCTTAGTCTCTAAGAATAGTTAGATAAATAATATACTTAGCCTTAAGTAGTTAAAGCACTTTAACACGCATACAAAGACATGTTAGGTAGGAGTGTATAGGTTACTTATCTTAGACAGCTATAAGAGCTATCTTAACTAGGAGTTTAAGGACTATTACCTAGAGAACTAAATCCTTACTCTCTATATACTACCTTACTTATTACACATCCTCTAGCTACTTAATATAGTCTGTTTCTTACTATTAAAGTATAAGTACTCCTAATATATTTAAGACTTAGTATACTAACATATCTTCTATATTAATAAGGAAGGCTTTCTACTAGCCTTTAGGGATATATTCCTTAATATATTTATAAAGGTTAACTACTAAAAGGCCTTTAAGGTATTAGGGCTTATTCCTACTAATATGTAGGTAGTGTTAGATTGCCTTAAAGTGTAGCTGTATACCCTACTAGCAGTACCTCTACCTAAAACGCTATAGTAATCTAAGATGCTAAGCAATACACACAAGTTTAGGTCTTAATCTAAGCTTGTAAGTAACTCCTTCTAATAATTACTAAGTGCAGCGCAAGAGGGGTTCTTAAAGCTTATAAAAGGGGCTGAAGAGATGCTGCATAAAAACGTCCTTATTAAGGCCTGCGTGCGAGAGCTTGAAGAGCAATTAGCAGTAATAACTAAGAGAAAATCGCGTAAGAGAAAGCAGATTCAGCATGGTGGCACACTTGAGTATGGCCCAGCAGCATCGCGGGTAGCTGCTGAGGCGTGTGTAGCAGCTCAGCCATCTAAGAAGACTTAGGGTGGAGGTGGTCAACTAGGAGCTTAGTCAACTGTTTGGCGCTGTAGGAACTGCAGCAAAACTAGACACAACGCACAAACGTGCTAGGAGGGTGCAGAAACATCTTCTAAATCTAATATAAGCATGCAGTATGCTAGGTCACTGTTTAATAGCAAGTAGTTGTAGTTGTAGTAACTTGTGTTAGTTATGCTAAGAGAAAATGGCTGGTTCAGTGATATGGCCGGCTCGGTGATAATCTACGTTAACGTAGTTCACAAGCGAGCGGTCCAACCCAAGCGAGCAGTCCATCCTAACTATGATAGCCTAATAACTACTTTACATTCTAATACTATCCTAACATAATATATAATTAACCTATACTAAAGGGACCTTATAGCTTGCTATCTAAGCTATAATTAAAGATTATAATAAGAGTAAAAGACGTGCTATTATAGCCTTTAGCGTACCTTAAACTACTGTCTGCTAATAATGCTAAGGAGCCCTCTCTTAACACAATCACAAGCCTAATTTAAAGAAGCTAAGCAAACTAGAGGGGGAGGCCCTTGTACAACGTATACTTGAGCTTAATACAAGAGGAATACCTGCTACAAAGGCTATGGTGCGAGATATAGCCAATAATCTGCTTGCTGAGCGCGGTAGAGAGCCTGTTAGCAAGCACTAGGTAGACAACTTCAAGACGCGTACGCCTGAGATCAAGCTTCAAAGGAGCTGTCCATATAATCGCTAGCAAGCCCTTAACAAAGATGCACGCGTTATAACACCCTAGTTTAAGCTAGTTACTAACACAAAGGCTAAGTACAGCATCACAGACAAAGACATATACAACTTTGTCGCAGTGAGTGCAAGCAGTGCGCAAGGAATTGAGGATTGAACTGAGGTTGTATTTGTGTGAAGCTACGAACGGTACATGTAGGTAAGTGATTGTAAACAGCGCTAGCCCTTGCTAGCATCGCGCCCTCACCAAAGGTGAGTTGCAACTGCAGAGGCTGAGAAGGAGAGGTCCTAAACCGCGACACACCCCCTAGCTGGCGTAGACGCGCAGGCAGGGAGTCAACGACAGCTGACCAGGATCAGTGTATATAGATACCGTTGAGGTCGTCTCCATCAGCCTGCCGTAGGCCCTTCAGGCGCTCAGCAATATCAATAAGGCTAAGTTAGCGTACAAAGTCTGCAAATTTCTGCTTTAGCAGGATCTTTGTGAGTCCGTCAGCAGGCATATGATTAGTAGGGACCCATTTAACATTAATTTGTGAGGCAGTGACCTCCTGTTAAATCTAGAGCTAGTAGATGTTAACGTGCTTAACCTTAGTATAAAGCTTATTATGCTGCTTTGTAATAATACTAACAGTTTGCTAGTTGTTACACTAGATTGTAGGTGTACATTTAAGCGTAAGGTTAATGCTAGCAAAGAAACACATCTACTCTTCTATCTGCAAGGCTGTAAGGGAGAGTAAGAGCAATTTAGACTCTGTAGTTAATTTTATAACTGTGTGCTAGATAGTTAATTTCTAGTTAATTATAAGTCCTCTAAATTTAAAGGCGTATCCCTAAGAGCTCTAGCAAGTCTTAGGCTTGTTAGCGTACAAGGTATTAGATAATCTAAAGAAGAGAAGATCGCGGTATGTAGGATTGTTAGTGAGATACTTAGCCATGTTATGCGCGCTAGCAGAGGCTTCAAGGGCGAGAGCCTTCGTGCTGAGCAGGTAGCGCCAGGTCTGGCGGATCTTTGAGATGTGAGACTGTCCTGGGTTGATGAGGTGGCAGGCAAAGACAACGTGCGTTCAGGCAACGTCAGGTCTACCCTAGACAGCGATGTATGCGAGAGAACCAACAAGCTGCTGGTAGAGCTTTGTATAAGCAGTATTAGTCTCCTAAGTAGACTGTGGCAGCCAATTCTCTGTCAGCGGGACGTCTGGAGCCTTGCCTACAGCCTTAATACTAAATCAAGCGCACACCTTATTAATAAAAGCGTCTTAGACTAGCTAGGTCTTGTGCAGAGCTTGGTTGTGGACAATGTGGATACTAAGAAACTAGGTAAGTTCTCCTATTACTTTAATATTGTACAGATCTACTAGATCCTTCTAAAAGGAATTATAGTAATTAGCATTTCATTAATAAAATACTATAACAATATTGTTAACGTAGACAAATAGGATAAGCTAGCAGCTTATGTACAGGCATGGGAAGCCATGAACTGGCTTCAGACCTAGCTTGACAAGTTGTTGACGTAGCTCATTGTACTATAGGATTAGTGACTCCTTCAGGCCGTACAGGGCGCAGAGCACCAGCATGATCTTGCCTTTGGTATGGCAGAAGGCCTCAGGTGTTTCAGCGTATAGCTTGTAGTTAGTTTTTGCGTTTAAGAAGGCAGTAGGGACGTTGTACTGCTTTAGTTTAAGATTAAAGTAATTAGTAATTGTAATAAGAGTGCAAAAGTTGTAGATAGCAAGTATAGCAGCGTACGTGTTGTGTATTAGGGCTTAGAGGTCTCCTTAGACAACAAGTTAAGCCTTAAACTATAAGAGATATCTATCTCTATCTGTCTTATAAGCAAAGACCTACATTAGTAGCAGCACCTTACTATCTATAGTAGCCTTTAATTACTTAGTGTGTCTAAAGACACCTTTAGTGCGTAGGTCTTGCTATTTAATTTCTATTGCGTGTTAAAATTAATTGCCAAACATGTGTGTATTAAGCTGCTTCTCTAACTTTAGCAGTGGCAGTAGCTGTGTCTGATAGATTTGTGGCACTTTATCTGCTGTTGTGGATATTAAGTAAATCTCTGTTAAGAATGCTTGCAGGTAATTAACAAGAGGCTTAGGTCCCAGCCTTGTAGTGTAGACCTGTACAGCAAAGTTGTTTAGATCTCTTGGCTTTAGATTGCGCTTGCTAGAGACAATTAGGTTTGTATTAGTTAGATCAAGATTAACGTCCTGTGGCGCTCTCTTGCCTTGTTAGCAATAGCCCTTAGGAACTATATGTATTGTGTTGTCCTCCTCTAATAGTGTAGGAGTTAGAATTTGTTGTTAAGTTAATTTAGGTGTGTTGTTAGCCTTAAGTGCGTTGTTAGTTATTTTACCCCCTAACTAGGAGCCTCTAGCTCTTAAAGCTAAGGTCACAGGTGCTGTTTAGCAATAGCGTTAGTGAGCAGTTAATAGATCCTTAATGCTAACATTGTTGTTCTGTGGCATCTCTAGATATTTAAGTAGCTTAATTACCTCCTTAATCACTAGTATAGAGGTGTAGCTATCTATTCTATTAAAGAAGAGCGTAGGCTTAAATACAACGTCGCGTGTGATGATAATAGTATCCCTTGTAGGCAGCCATATGCAGAAGATATTAGTGCTATAGTAGCTAACAAGGTGGCTAATAAGAGTGCGCGATTTAAGCTTGTCAGTAGCTCTTAGGTTGCAGTTGTAGACGTAGGCGTGGCATCCTATAGGTCTTATATAAGTAACAAGTAGTTTTTGTCCCTATACAACCTTATACAGTGTCTTCTAGTCTAGAGCTTTAGTGGGCGTGCAATTAAGGATGTATGCTGCGGTGCAATACATCTTGTGCAATAAATTCTTGGGCAGGTGAGCGTGTATGCGCATAGCGCGAGCTCGCTGAGTGAGAACTCCGCCTGCGCGCTCAATGAGTCCATTCGGCTCCTTTGTACCAGCTAGAGCAGGCTCGTATAGCATTCCCAGCTCTTCTGTCGTGCTAATCAGATCATTGCCAAATCCTTTCTTGTTGTTGCAACAGATGGCGACTACGTCTGCGTTGTACACACGTTAGATTCGACAGATCAAGGCTATGAACCAACAAGTAAGTGTTGGCTTGTCCTTTCGCTTAATTGTGGCAATCTTATGCCACTTCAAGTACTCGTCTATAGAGTGTAGAGCGTATTTACTGCTGTTAATACACTCCTCTCCTATAGGGATAATGTAGATTAAGTCTATTGTAATTTAAAAGAATAGTTGTTGTGCACAGCTCTTAGCTGGGCGTCTTAAGATAATGTGAGTTATTTAAGCTCTAGTGTAGGTTTAGCAGAGACAGTCTATGTAGTCTCCTGTTAGTTAGACGCTAGTGACGTTTAATTTAAGCTAGTTAACTGCCTTTTAACCTAGGTAGCCCTAGATTTAATGAGCATTGCGTTAATTGACAACGTTTGCAGGCTTTAGCGCGTATGATGGGCAATATAATGCCCTAAACGTACTCAGCGGTGAGTGGAGAAGCGACAGCGGCGGTTGGCGTAATAGCTCGGCATTAATCAGCTAGTGTCCTCTATTGTATTCAAGTTGTGCGATGATGTTGGTTAGTTGATGCATGTATAGGACGTCGCGGCCAGAGTTGAAGTAGATTAACTCTAATTGGCAGCGAGCGAGTCCTAAGACGCTGGTTAAGAAGCCTTCGACGTACGCGACGTGCGTTAGCTCCAGCGTTAGCTGTCTATGTGGTGTACAGACGATGAGTTCCATTGTTCCCTACGCAGTGATAAGGATACAGGTATTGCTAGCGTTAATAGAACAACGTTGTGGATTATTACTTGTCCTCCTCTAGCCTTTCTATACCTCTGTGTTGACAACGTGCGTGTTAGATCCTAGATTAATAATCTATTAATTGCGTAGTTTAGTCTAAGTAATTTCATTAATAGCTATTGTTGTGAGAGATCCTATAGGCTTAGTGTGAGCGTTAATAGCAATAACGACCTTATTATCATGGTCAACTTGATTATGCCTGTTGTGACTGCTGTGGCTGTTGTGGCTGTTGTGGCTGTTGTGGCCGTCGTGGCCGTCGTGGAGAGGCTTAAGTAATGGGCCAGTTGATATCACAAACGTGTCAGTGTTGACAGGTGGCTTGCTGTCATCAACTCGCAGTGATCTAGTGTTCTGAGGTTAGCAGGTCAACTATCTCGCAAGAGCAGCCTTAATGCGCGCGTTAATCTTAGAGTCCTTCTGCGCTTCCTTAACCTTGTGTACAGCCTTAGCTGCAGGCTGATAGGTCTTTAGACGTGCTAGGTGGCGTGGATTCAGGATAAAGTAGTTAGTGTACTAATGCTGCTTCCTATATACGCAGGTAGGAATTGATTGTGCACTGTTATGGTGACCACAACTAGTTGATTGAGTCTTAGTCAGCTTCGTGATTCTGAGCTCAGCAGCAGAGACTGCCAGGCCTGTAGATTGAGGCTTCGTGCGGCGTAGGTATGTGGTCATCTCAGCGACGTATGTCTCAAGAGATGAGATCTCTGCAGTAGTGCCACGCGCTTCATGTTTGAAGATCTCGCGTAGGCAGGACGTAGCATATTCCTGATCCAGAGCCTTGCAGGCGATCAGAAAGTCCTCTTGCGGTCGGTTGCCGTCAGTTTCTGGCAGCGTGATTGATTTGCCTTGGGCGGTGATGTATACCCAGTTAGTGAGCCATTGCTCGATCTTCTTTGCAGCTCGTGGAGCAGTCTTAAGAGTGTTGTACTATTATCAAGCCCGTGTTCCACACTGAACAAGGCCTGAAGCTATTACCAGAGGACCTTATGATGCGGGGGTCGTTTTGGACAGAGCAGTACTTCCCAGAGAATTGGTTCGATCAAGACGAAGTGGAGGAGGACCTACAAGACACTGCAGGGCGCCGCAACCTGCGGCTGTTACGACTTGGTTTCAAGCTTAGTCAGGTAAAGTTGGCTTTCGTACAGAGATATTCACTTCAGCTGACCAGATTAGTACAATCGCTGAATATCATATGATCCTACTCAGTCTTGTTTCCTTGGGATTGAGAAGAGCATCGAAGACCCGGCGAAGGCTGACGCAGCCTCTCTAGACCACCAAGCTGCATCCCAAGAAGTACTTTCGTCAGCTGATTAACTTATGTCACGCAATCTTCTAGCAATTAACATGCAGTATATTCAAGACAGAAAGGTAAAAAGGTGTCTGTTAACAGCTGTTCTGAACACCCTTGCTGCTCTTGTATTTACATATCTATCACTATCGCCGATGGAAAACCATAATAACGAACAAGAGGAACAACAGTCAGTGGGTGGGGCAATGATAATATCTATCAGACTAGTTAGTGTGGTCATATATGCACTGATGAATTACGTACCAGAGGAGCAAATTGGGCAGTTGCTAGTGAGGTAGTACGTGCCCATTCCGCAACAGTTACTACTATCAGTGACATGTTCAAAAGGATATACAAATATACCATTACTAGCGATGGGTGATTGCGGCGCCTGCGGAGTTTGTTATGAAGCTGCAAAATCTCACTCTCTTTTCTGGCGGCAAGAGCGATGTGTGTGTACATATTGAAAAGAAGAACTGCTAGTACATAATCCAGTCTGCCAAGTTAGCAACTTTGCTGCGCACTATGGGCTGAGGAAACTTGCCTATTGAGCAAAGTCGTCGCGATACCCCCAAGAACAAGCAATAGTGTATGGACTGAACGCTTAAAATGCACCAACTTGGATGTCTCCGCTGGTTTTTGTTGCCATTTTTGTTCGGCAGCCTGCTTGACGTCAGTCAACTCCTGTGAATCAAACGCGGTCTGCTCACTATGTCCACGAGAAGAAGGCATATCAAGGTCAACGAGTGAATCTGAATAGCACCCCCAGTTCGATTTGTAACCGCAAGCGCAAGCGCTATCGTGCAAGGAATCGCGGGCAAGATGAGGAGAAGGGCTGTAGGTATGGATTGGCGGAAATATCCAAGATATCCAAGTCTATACGTAAATGCGGCGGCTAGCAAAAGTCAGAAAAGGCAAATAATGTAACCACGTGGCTTAGATCACATGATATCCTATTGTAGCAGGTACTGCCCGGTGGGCAAGTGCGCTTACCTCAGAGCTGAGAGCTTCTGTAACATAACATCACAACACGTGATGGCGCCTCGTTTGACGTGTCGAGCCCCTCACTCTGTTTGTGCCGTGCGCTTGTGGCAACTTTGCGTCGTAACTGCAAGGATATAAGATAAACAAATCTGGCATTATGCGACCAGTCAGGCTCGGAAAGCGCGCAAGCGTGCCAGAAGCTTGCGAAGCGGCACCTTCATCCCATCCAATACAAAGCTTTTGCCGTAAGCGCGCACGCACTGCTGAAGTAACAAACAATAACCAAATGATGTAGATGATCACTCACCAAGCCGCAAGCCATTTGCTTAAGCGGAATGCATCGTGGACAAGGTGGCGATGCGTACCCCAAGAGGTCAAGACTGAGATAGGAAAGTGGGTGAATGAGGAGCTCAAAAAGCAAGATATCCCGGAGATCCGAGAGGACGTGTTTGAATGGCGAATGTCGCGAGCATTGCCAGACGCTGCCCGTGCTGCCGGTAAGATACACCCTGAGATATCTTCGCCGCTAATCAACAATCCAGCCAATATAACGTAGTTCACAAGCGAGCGGTCCAACCCAAGCGAGTGGTCCACCTAACAGAGTTAAGATGATTGCAATGCATATGCTGCAACACCACCACCACTTACTGCAATTTGCAGGTGATAGAGATACTATTTAGACTTATTGCTATTAGATGCATCTACAATTTCAACTGCACAGGTGCGAGCGTTGTAGCCAGTCTCTCCACAACGTCTGCAACGCCTCTGTGTGCGTACCTTCTTTGCAGGCTCTCCGCCCCCCTGCTGCCTACTACCCTCCCTTTCAGCTATTAAATCAGCTACCTTACCTACCGTGAGACTCTCTGCTGCCTGAATATACTTCCTCTTTTGACCTCTAACCTCTGTTGCTATCTCTACTGCCTTGCGAAGCCCTGCTATTTCCTGTCGCATTAACACGCTATCATGCCCTATCCATGCAATGCCCTTGTTTAGCTGCTCAACTGCTCTAAGCAGAGGAGAAACTAGGGAATCTCTGTGCAGTTGTACACGCTTACAAACCAGCGTTGACTGAGCCTCTATCTTACAGAGGTTGCTTGGAGTTTTTAATTCCTATGGGGTGTCCTCTGGCTTTGGTGGAGTTAGCGTACAAAGGACCACATTAAGCTTTAATATTACCGCCTCTAGGTTGTGTAGAACTAGTCTAGCGCCCCTAAAGCCTGCATAGATGTTCTCCTTTGTAATTAACCTCTTAAAAGCTGCTTTGAAGGCTGGTAGGAAAGCCTCCTTCTTAATCTACTTAGAGCTGTACTGTGCCAAGCCACTAATCTCATTGGTTGGTTGGTTAGAATTGATTTTCGTCCGAAGGATAGGGATTAAGTCCACCATCCTGCCTCCTGAAGGGCATGTAGGACGTGCTGAGCTATAGATTTACAATGCTGTTGCGCTACCCTAGAAAGCATTTCTTGCATGTGCGAGTATTTCTACTATTTCTAGCTATAGCTCTCCTTCCTGTTAGAGAGACTAAGCAGTATAGACATAATAGGGGAGAACCCTTGTGTGTGTTTAGAGGCATTTAGGTGCCATATAGGAGATAGAGAGTAGATTGAAAAGAGAGAGTTAGTATAGATAGAGGTTGTCTGCTACTGCTCTGTTAGACCTGCAGCTGCAGATAGAACAGAGTTAGCATAATACAACAGTCTGTTGTTGCTGCTAGCTAGGATAGCTACCGCTGGCAGACCTTAGTATAGTACTGTGTAATCTAGAGAAAAGCTCTAAAGGCCTCTAGATTTATTAACAGCTCTGCAAGGTATGCTAGGCCTTTGCTATAGCTTGATGGTGGTGTAGGTAGTTGTAGTGGCCATTAGATAAAAGACCCTAGAGTCTTACAGCAGAGTACAAGGTGCTCTGGCGTCTTGTTGCACCTACATAAGCAGGTAAGCTTTGTGTTAGTGTGGTTAAGCTATTAATAGTACTAGGCAAAGTCTCTGTGCCTAGATTAGATAGAGAGGAGCTTGGCTAGGATAGCTCTTAGTAGGTCTAGTTCAGCTAAACTCCTGCGTGGTGCGTAGTCTAGCTTCTAGCCTTTGTACCACTTAGAGAGTGTTCTCCTCTTGTCTAACCACTATTTTTGTTATGTGCTAATTAGGAGTTGTTGTGCGGTAGTTTTTATGCCTAAGAGTGTAGGCATTGCAGCTTTTCTAGTAGGGAGCGAGGGCTGGCTGGCTTCTAAGTTGGCTAGCTTGTCTGCCGCTTTGTTTCCTTTGATGTCAGAGTGCCCTGGAGCCCACCTAATAGAGACGTTGTGGGTCTCCATCGCGCCCTGGCACTCGAGGAAGGCCCATTGTGAGGTAGAAGATGGGCTCCCCCTTAGGCGCCATATGACGGAGGTGCTGTCTATACACAGCCAGATTCGGCGGGTGCAGAGGGCTAGTTGCCTTATTGTGTGCTGGAGGCCTCTCTATGCTCCTACTGCTTCTGCGTCAAAGACGTGTGACATAGGGTTAAGTAACCCGCGTCCTCTGTGTAGTTATTTTCTGTTCTAGTACACTGCGAACCTATAGGTTATACATTTCTCTCCTTCCTTTGTGTACTGCTTAGAGCTATCTAAGAAGATAGTAACGTCTAACAGTAGGAGCTAGGCCTACTATTCTTTAAAGGCTTTAGCTGCCTTCTTCTTGTCTGCGCCTAGCGTTAGGTCTATTTAGCAGCTAGGAGAGTAGTAAGGGAGGTTTAGTGTTGTCCTAGGTATCTTAGGCAGAAGGGCTCCTAGCTGTTAGACCTTGGTCCAGGTTCGCTAGAGCTGCCTATATCCCTTGCCTCTAGTCACCTTGGGGATTACTGTGCGCCTAGTAAGGGGGTAGTCTGCATCTATAGTGCGGAGATGTGCTGCAAACCTTAGTTTAGCTTCTTCTAGCGCTACTGCAGCAGAGGGTAGTCTAGCGTCTTAGAAGAGCGTGGTAGTAGGAGTTGTTCTCCACACTAGGAGGATGCCCCTTGCTACTATTGCTATTGTTTTGTCTATGGCCGTTATGTGCCATCCCACGTAGGCGCTAGCTTCTAGCGGCCTGCCAGGCTTAAGCGTGCGCGGTGGCTTAGTGCGGCCTCTGTACCAGCACTCTGTTCTGTACAGAAGAGAGGGGTATATGCAGGCGATAGTTGCCTTGCGCAGTGAGCTGGCTGGTGGCCCGTAGGCCGTCCTTGCCAGGCTGCGGATGTGGAAAGCTACCTGGGCAGCTTTTATGGCGCGTGTGGCCACGTGGTACTTAAAGGTCAGTCTGCAGTTAAACCAGACCCTAAGCTACTAGAGGGCAGGCTTAGTGTTTTCTCTGCCTAAGGAGATTGCGTTAATAGTAAGCTACTTGTCTACTATACAGGGCAGCGCGTAGATGCCTCGCTGTCTAGTAAGGTGGATTATTTCTTGCTTCTCTAGAGCAAACGTGACCTTATTAGCCTTGCCCCACACCCTAATCTGTCTTAGATTGGCTGCTAGGAGCTTAACGTTCCTGTCTAGAGAGTGTGAGGCCTAGTATAGGCACACATTGTCTGCATATCCAAATCTTCTCTCTGTATCTATTAACAGTAGTTTAGCTAGGTACAGTGTGTATAGTACTAGGGAGAGGGGTAATCCTTAGGGTGTACTACAGGCAACTAGGTAGCTAGGGGTAATAGCTTATCTAAGGCAGACTTGTACCCTTTATTCTGTAAGGAAAGAGTCTATAAATAAGAGCACTCTTTAGGGCTATCCTTATTAGACTATCTAGTGTAGCAGACAGTTCTTAAGGAGGGCATTAAAAGCGCCCTGTATATCTAGGGTAACTATTATAACATGCTGTCCTTGTGCCCACGCAGCTTCTGTATTGTAGGTGAATGCTGCAGTTAGATTAGCTGTAGAGTGTTTTAGAAGGGCGCCTCTGTGTTAGGGACTAAGGATCTTGTGGGTCATAGCAGTCCACGCGATTCTCCTAGCCACTGTTCTTTCAAGCCCTTTCCTAATGCAGGAGAGGAGTGCTATAGGTCTCCAGGATCTGGGTGATCTCTGGTCTCTCTTCCCTGCCTTTAGTATCATAGCTACTTCTGCCAGCTTCTATTGTGCAGGAAAGTAGTTAAGTTCAAGGCACCGCTAGAAGATCTGTCGTATAAGTTCTCTAACTTACACCTAGCAGGCACAGAGCAGTCTTACTGTAGAGTGATCAGTGCCTAGGGAGGTGCTAGATACCACTATCGTGTTTTAATTAGCTTCCTCTAGAGAGATGTGTGTGCTCTATAGGAGAGGCGTTGCACTTTCTTAGTCTAGGTAGTGGTTAAGGTTGTCTTCTGCTGTGTATTAGTTAAGGACTTCTTCTTAGAGGGCCTCTGCTTTTTCTAGAGGATCTAATACAGTTGTGCTGTTAACTACTAGAGGCACATCCTAATTCTCTAGTATAAGCTTATGCTAGGCAATAACCCTAAAGAGTTCTTTACTATCCTTAGCGTTGTCTATAATATGTCTCTAATATTGCTTTTTAGCCTGTCAGACTATAGTCTTGAAGATCTAGGTCTCTTCTAGTAGAGAGCTGCTAGAGCATTGCTTTTTTGCACGTTTATGCCTTTAGTAGGCGATTTTACACTCTGTAGTCTACCATAGCACCACGCGCCCTTCTTTGTAGTTAGGCTTGCCTGCTGTCTGTATAGAGTGCTGGATTGTCTCTGTTAGTAGTGTAACATATTAGTCTAGTTGTGCTCTGTCTTGTGCTGTGAGCAGGTCCAGAATGCTCTAGACGCCTATTTCTACTAGTCTAGTAAACTTAGGTATGCTTGTCTCTAGGACTCTGTAGTAGTGCTAATCTAGGTACAAGGTACCTATTATAGAGGTAGGGATAGACGTTACTATTGTCTTATAGTCTAATCTACTGTACATGCTAGCGTCTACTACTAATTAGGCAAATAGGACGTTAGAGAAAGTAAGGTTAATAACATAGCCTGCTTAGTGTGTTAGTTGTCTAGGAATGCTAATATAGTCTATAGACGCAGTAGTAGCCTATCTAGCTAACTTAATTCTGCTGTTAGTTACAGCAACACTAGGTTTAAAGGCTTTGTGTTTAAGGTTAAAGTCTCCCCCTATAAGACAGTGTTTAGGAGGTGTTAGGTGTGTAACATATTAGAGGACATCTTAGTTATGTGCCTATCTGTAGCAGTTTAGAATAGAGACTCTATTCACAACTACCTAGAGCAGGTCTAGGTAGTTAAGGCTTTCTCTAGTCTAGAAATGCAGGTGGCGTCTTTTACAGACATATGCTATCACTCTAGGACACTTTAAACCTGTTGCACTAGGCGTGTTCTAGGTGCTAATAGGTGCAAAGTGTCTATATCCTAGGTAGGTAGAGGTTCTTAAGTTAGCGCAGGTGAAGGGCTCTTGAACGCACACGACGTCCATGCCCCTCTAAAATGCAACTTCTAGTATTGTGATGTGGCAGGGAGAGCTTCTGCTAATATTGGCCCAGCACACACAGAGTGGTCTGTTCTGTATGCTAGGCTGTTGTTGCCTATTGTAGGCTAGGGTGCTGTTAGGTTGTTCTAGCATAAGGATGGCGGGTTGTTACTTATGCTTGTGTCTTCTCTCTTAGAGGTAGACGAGTCGGTGTGGGCAGCAACTTGTGGGTACATGCTGCTAGCCGACATCTGTGCTAAGTTGAGGCTTTTGCGGCTAGTAGCTGCTCGCCTTAGTCTCTTTTCTCTATTAGTAGTAGAAGAGGGCGCCTGGGAGACATTTGTTGTTCTAGCAGAAGCTGCTCTGCTTTCTTCTTCTAGTTCACGCCTCTAGGCTAGAGGGTAGGGTAATGCCGCCTGCTAGGTCAGGGTAGATGTTGCTACATGCTGCTGTGTTGCCTAGTTAATAGTTTCCTTAACTGTCCTGTACAAGTGTTAATATGCTGCTTTGCCTGCTTAATAGATAGCTTTTAGTTTAGTCTTAGTAGGCTTTATTAGGTGTCTATGTACCTAGCAGGAGGCTGCCAGGCAGTTTGTATAGCTAGCTAGGTGTGGACCCTGGCAATTAGCACACTTAGTTTTATAGGGGCAGTTGTCCCTATATAGTCCTTTGTGCCTGTCTGTGCAATCTCCACAGTGCACGCAGCGTGCTACTCTAGTGCAGCAGGCAGGGTTACAATAGCCTTAGCAGCCTAGGTTGTGTCACTGTATTATAGGGTGTTTGTTAATTACTTTTAAGAACATGCTAGTTGTCAGATAAGAGCGAGCGGCGAGAGGTCGGATCTGCGCAATCGAGCAGGGACCTGTCGTGCAGCCAATCAGCAGTTGCCAGGTCGATTAAGCGAGACCTGGCAACTCCTGATTGGCCCGCACACCGGCGGCCGCGAACAGCGCTAATTCCCCCCCACTTCAATCCTGTAGCAACCAGCACGACGCCACGGCAGAAACACCATCGCCACGATCATCAATATATCATTATACCACCTAAGATCTCGTTAAGCACATACTCTGGCTCACAGTACGAGAATCTGACACTAGTTCTAAAAAGCCTAAACAAGCAGACTAGCTCTTTATAGGAAACAATCTATGTTGTAAGGCCCTGTTGGTTAGCTCTATGTCATGAGGTCCTGCAGCTAACTAGCTGCTTGCCTGTCTGTGAGCAGGCCTCATCTTCCACTAGCTAAGTGGTAGTAGGAATTTCTGTCCTGTCTAGAGTGTGGAAGGAGCTAGGTACTCCTTAGACTACATAGTTGATCTAGCGCTCTAGGGTCCTAATAGCATCACTGTCTAGAGCATTTAGAATATACTCCTAGTTTACTTAGGTTATAAGTTAGTCCTAAATTGTCTTGTTAGCTGGGGTGAGCGCCCAGCTAGTATTAATTAGTAATACAGTAGGGATGTCTTAGAGGGTGATTCCCTCTATGCTCCTTTATACAGCCTGCCTTACTATAAAGGGGGAGGGTTGCTGTATTTGCCCTGTTAGGTTAGAGATTTGGACGAAGATGCAGCAGTCCTCTTTAGGCTTAGACAGCAGGTTAGGGTGGGGTCTAGCTGTGTTGAGGGGTTAGTTACTACCCCTGTTGTTTGGCACTGAGATTTTTAGGTCTCTCGCTACGTCCGCCCAGGAGCGGCGGCCTGGGTGTTGGCTGCCTGGGTAGCTGTGGCTGGTGTCACTGCTCCGGCGGAAGTTGGTAGCTGAGTTGCTTGGGGAAAGGGAGGTCAGAGCCTGGATAACCTTCTGCTGCAGCTCTGCTGCGATCCTAGCTTCTTCAGGATCTTTGTAGCTCTCTGTGTGGTGGTCTACAGCTGCAGCAAAGGCAGTAGTGATGGTGTTCCACAACTAGGTGATTTTTTGAGTTTCGGTGATGTGGCGTTGAACGGCATCATAAGCTCTGGGTTTGGGAGCGCCCCCACCAGGGATCTGGCTGCTTAGAGGAGGGGCCTGATGGTGCAGGTGCCTCTGGAGCCGGATTGAAGCGCGTGTATTAAGCTGTTGTGGGGACTCAGGGTCTGGAGACCTCGTGTGCTGGGAGGTTGGAGACTCTGCCATCCTGACAAGCTCCTCCGCGGGTCGCGCGAGGGGCGAGGCGGACGTAGGAGATACTCCCAGGGTGCCCGCGATAACCTAGATCAGTTGCTGTGGTTTTTAGGGCCCTAGTGAAGGTTACCCAAAAATCGAAAGATTGGTGTTCGGTGCCACTAATCTCATCACTATATGCCCGCTTTAAAGGCAAAAAGCAACCCACATTAAGTGGCTGCAGCAGGTGCGATGAGTAAGCAGGCATACAGAGAACAATAATCTTCTCTTCCTTACAGTGTTTGTAGAACTTATGTGAGCTGTGGCTCTCATAGCCGTCCACAATCAGCAGCCTGTGTGCACCCACCTTCTGGTCTTTTGTATAGGTATTGAAGTGCTTCAGCTAGGCAATACCAAGCTTATTTAACGTCTAGCTATTAGGACTAACCTTAATTACCTAATCCTAAGGTAGATTATAAAACTATAAGGTAATAAGGACCTTGCTAGGGAAGATAAGGAAGGGTAGGATAGCCTATCCTTTAGCGTTAACTCCTTGTATATTAGTGACCTAACCACAGTTCCCTAGCTGCAGGCTCTTTGTACTACGCTTCTTAGAGCCTATAAAGACTATCTAGCTATAGATAACCCCTATTATAAAGCCTGTCTTGTTAAAGTTGTACATGTCTTTGTCTGTAATGCCGTACTTGGCCTTTGTGTTGGCAACTAGCTCAAACTAGGGTGTTATAACGCGTGCATCTTTGTTAAGGGCTTGCTAGCGATTATATGGACAGCTCCTTTGAAGCTTGATCTCAGGCGTACACGTCTTGAAGTTGTCTACCCAGTGCTTGCCAACAGGCTCTCCACCGCGCTCAGCAAGCAGATCATTGGCCATATCTCGCACTATAGCCTTTGTAGCAGGTATTCCTCTTGTATTAAGCTTAAGTATACGTTGTACAAGGGCCTCCTCCTCTAGTTTGCTTAGCTTCTTTAAATTAGGCTTGCGATCGCGTTAAGAGAGGGCTCCTTAGCATTATTAGTAGACAGTAGTTTAAGGTAACGTGGTTTATCACCAAGTCGCCAGGTATCACCAAACCGCCACCCCTCGCCAATTTTGCGACTGTTACAATAATTCTTACAATGCCATTACAACACAACGCGCAATCACCCTATAACAAAGGTACACTATACCTTGCTATCTAAGCTATAAAAGCTACTGTACCTAATAGTATAAATTATGTGTCTAAGGCCTTTAGTGTTCCCTAATTAATATTAAGAGACTAATGTGTAGGAGGGCTTACATAACGCAATTACAAGGCTAATTTAAAGAAGCTAATAAAGGTAGAAGAGGAGGTAATAGTTAACTATAAACTTAAGCTAGACAGACAAGGAATAGGCGCAACAAAGACTATAGTGCAAGATATAGCTAATAATCTGCTTACTGCACATAGTGAAGGACCTGTTAGTAAGCTCTAGGTAAACAGGTTTAACATACATACCTAATAAATTAAGCTTTAATATAGCTAACTATACAATTATTAACAAGCCCTAAATAAAGATACACGCGTTATAACACCCTAGTTTAAGCTAGTTAGGAATGTAAGGGAGAAGTATAGAATCCTAGATAGAGATACCTACAACTTTAATAAGACTAGGTTTATAATAGGCATAATTAGGTCTAAGATAGTGTTTACAGGCTTAGAGAAGTAATCTAACCCTAAGAATATCTAGCCTAGTAATTAGGAGTAGGTTACAATTATTATTAGTGTCTGTGCTGCTAGCTAGGCTATCCTAACCTTTATTATCTTCTAAGGTAAGGTCCTAATTATAACCTAGTACCCTAATCTACCTTGTAATTAGGTAATTATAACTAGCAAGAATAGCTAGACAATAAATAAGCTTAGTCTAGAGTAGTTAAAGTACTTTAATATATCTATAAAAGAGTATACTATTAGTGCCTACTATCTACTTATTATTAATAGCTATAAGAGCTACAACTCTGTAGAGTTTAAGGAATACTGTGTAGAACACAAGATTATTACCTTATATATACCCCTATACTTATTGCACATGTTGTAGCTGCTTAATATAGCCTATTTTAGCCCCTTAAAGAGGGCGTACTTAATTAAGGTTAACGCCTAGTTATAATACTTAAAGATATAAATTAAGAAAGAGTTCTTCCTTACTAGCTTCTAGATAGCCTATTATAAGGCTATTATAAAAGACAATATCTACAGAGGCTTTAGAGGCGCAGGACTAGTTCCTTTTAACCTAGAGCAAGTGCTATTAAAGCTTGATGTGGTCCTTCGCCCGCTAACACCACCACCACTAGAGACTACCCTATAGGAATCTAAAACACTAACTAGCGCAAAGGAGGTTAAGTCACAAATGTTGTATATCTGTAAGTGCATGCAATTGCACAGAGATTCGCCCCTGTCTCCTATTATAAAATCACTTAACTTGCTTGCTAGAGGGGTTGTGTAGATAGACTATACTAATATGTTATAGAGAAGGGAAATAGATAGTATAAAGAAGGCTATTAAGGCTCTAACAGTGCAGTGTAGTTGCAAAAGAAAGTATATCTAGACAGAGGAGGCTCTTATAGTTAGTAAGGTACAGGATATAATAGCTAAGAAGGATAGTAGTGGTAGTAAGGTATCTAAATAGTCTAGGAAGAAGGTGCGCAAAGAGAGGCACTGTGGATGTTGTGGCAAGACTAGCTACAATTTGCGCACCTGCACTGCAGAAATATTAGATGTAGATAATAGCGCTACTTCTAAAGAGTAATTATAGTAATTATAAGTATTAGTATAGTGTTATAGTTAAGCGTAATAGTTGTGTAATAGTTAGTAACTCTAAAAAAGTTAGTAAGGGGTGGCAGTTTAGTGATACCTAGTGGCTTGGTGATAAACCACGTTATACTAAAGGCTATAATAGCATATCTTTTACTCTTGTTGTAATCTTTAATTATAGCTTAGATAGTAAGCTGTAAGGTCCCTTTAGTATAGGTTAATTGCATGTTGTGTTAGGATGGCATTGTAATACAAAGTAGTTATTAGGCTATTATGGTTGGGATGGACCGCTCGCTTGGGTTGGACCGCTCGCTTGTGAACTACCGTACGTTACCGTGCCGGAGCTCGTGCCGCACGGTTCCGCGTTCCGCACGCGATCACCAAAACAACGAAATATCCTCAACACTACAACTTAACAACGCAATGACTTTAGAAGACGTACTTAAAGACACACGCGCAGCTAATGCGCGCAGTGAACTTTACTACTAAAAAATTGTAGATGCATATAACGTGTTTCACAAGCGAGCGCCGCACCCAACCAAGCGCCGCACTTTCAACAACAGAACGCCTGCGCAGCGCTATATCACAACACAACACAAATAAATAATTATTTATAGGCCTAGATAGTATTATTTAGAAGCTTTACTATTAACGTAAACCCCCAGCACCTAGGCCAACCCAGCACCCAGGCCATTTCTTGCCAAGACCATAACTATTAATATTAACACGTAATGCCTTGCTAACAAGATGTGCAATTATCTAAACAAGAGGGTAGAATTAATCTTGCCCTTTCTACTTTCTAATTATATAAATTTAAAAGCCTCTAAAGCGCTGCTTAGGCATTTAACATACTACATACAACCTTAAGTGCTAGGTATAGAGGCAGACTCTATATTAACAATAGACGCAACACACAATATAAGCTTACGCGCACTAAAGAGCAAACAATTGTACAATACATTCTTGACCTTAATTTGCGAGGATTCGCGCCCTAGCTGTGCAAGGTAGCAGATATAGCCAACAAACTGTTGGGTGTACGTGGTGGGCAGCCTGTTAGCAAGCACTAGGCTGAGCGCTTCGTGACGCGTTTAGCTACGCTTAAGATAGCCTTTAATTGAGCCAAAGATAGGCAGAGGATGCTGCAGGAGGATCTAGAGACAATTAGCGCGTGGTTTAAGCTAGTAGAGGACACAAAAGCTAAATACAGCGTACACAACCACAACATGTACAACTTTAACAAGACTAGCTTCTAGATAGGTGTTATTAGCTTAATAAAGGTTGTCACAGGCACAGAGAGACGTAATTAACCTTAGCTTATTCAGCCAGGTGATCGCGAGTGGGTAACAGTCATCCAGAGCGTCTGCGCTGCTAGATCTTGTACCCTGCCTTTCATTATCTACAAAGGACGCGTTCACATCTCTGCCTGGTACGAGGAGGCAGATATACCACGCAATTGGAAGCTCTCCGTCTCTGAGAGCGGCTGGACGAACAACGCGCTCGGCCTTGAGTGGCTGAAGCACTTCGACGCGCATACAAAGGCGAGCCAGGTAGGGGCGTACAGGCTGCTCATTTTAGACAGCCATAAGAGCCACCTTAACCAGGATTTTAAGGACTACTGCCTTAAAAACATAATCCTTACCCTCTACATGCTACCTTACTTATTATATATCCTCTAGCTACTTAATATAGTCTGCTTCTTGCTATTAAAGCATAAGTACTCTTAGCGCATATAAGACTTAGCACACAAGCACGTCTTCTATATTAACAAAGAAGGCTTCCTCCCTACCTTTAAGGACGCATTTTTTAACATATTTATAGTAGAGAACTATTACAAGGCCTTTAAGGCAGTAGGGCTAGTCCCTCTTAACGCGCAGGTTGTGTTAGATTGCCTTAAAGTGCGCCTGCGTACCCTGCTAGAACCCCTCCTCCTAGAGACGCTGTAGCAGTTAAAGACTCTAAGCAATACCTACAAGTTTAGATCTTAGTTAAAGCTTGTATGCAAGTCTTTTACTTAGTTACCTATTACTGCGCAAGTAGGCTTCTTTTAGCTTGTTAGAGGTGGCGAGCTTATGCTGCATCAGAACGCGCTTCAAGCAGCCTAGATTACTGAGCTTAAAGAGCAATTAGCAGTAATAACTAAGTAGAAATCACGCAAAAGGAAGCAGATCTAGCAAGGTAGTACTATAGAGTATGGTGAGGCAGCAGCTCAGGTGGCTGCAGAGGCCTCTGTAGCCGCTGAGCGGTTGAAGAAGGCTTATGGTAGTAGTAATTAAGAACAAGCTTAACTAGCTCTATAGCGCTGTAGAAACTGTGGAGGGACTAGACACAACACGCGAACGTGCAAAAAAGATATAGAGGCATATTCTAAATTAGATACAAGCACAGCGTACGCAGGCTCTATGTTAAATAGCGATGAAATTGAAGAGTTGTAACGTGAGTTGGTACTGCCAAGCTTTTTTGGCCCGGGTGCTGGGTTGGCCTGGGTGCTGGGGGTTTACGTTATCTATATCCTCTATTTCTACCTTATAAGTGCAGGAATTGTGTCTAATCTTACTACAACACCTATAGTATTATCTAACACACACCCTCTTTACAGGTGTCTTGCCCTTACTATAACCCCTACCCTCCTTTTTAGTAATTAAGTTAGCTACTTTGCTAACTATAAGGGTCTCCTCTATATATATATATTATTGCTTACAGGTCTTGCGCTTTATAGACGCTTCTATAGTGTCTTAAAGGCAGCCTATTTCCTCCTGTATTAACACTATATTATAAGCTATCTACTAAGCGCCCTTTACTAACTATTTAACCTGCTTATCTAACAAACTTGCTAGAGACCCTTAATAGATTTAAATCTGCTTTTAAATTAGAGTTAACTGCTCCTCTACTTTGTAAGCAGTGTGTGGTGTCTTTAGCTCCTAGGCGACGTTGCTAGGTTTTAGTGGCGTTAGCGTGCGTAGGCGCATATTAAGCTTTAATAACACCACCTCTAGGTTGTGTAGGACTAGCCTAGCACCTCTAAAGCCTGCGCGAACGTTCTCTCTAGTAAACACCTTACTAAACACTAATTTAAAGGCTAGCAGGAAGGTTTCCTTGTTAATATAGTAGATGCAACTGTGTGCTAAGGCCAAAACCTTGTCGCTATACAGGCGCTTTAGTGGCGAGAAGCAGGCGACGTCAAGTGGCTGCAACAGGTGCGACGAGTGTGGGGGCATACAGAGAGTGATTATCTTCTTCTCTCTGCAGAGATCTTGGAAAGCCACTAAGCAGTGGCTCTTATGGCTATTAATAATAAGTAGCTAGTAGACCCTAACTAGCTTTGCATGCGTATTAAAGTAGTAGAGCTAGGCAAGCGCTAGATTATTGTTAGTCTAGCTAGTAGGACTAATATTAATAACCTAGTCCTGTAGGAGGTCCTTGTAACAACGCTCTACGAACAGTGACCCGATACCACTAGGATACGGTTCTAGCGACTTATGACCATGGCCCTTGTCGCATGGCATAAGCTTACACTAAACTGCCACCAAACCCTCATATATAAGGAGCAAGGAACTATAGCATTGTAGAGTAGTTTTTCTGTATCCTTTTGTACAAGACCTATAGGTGTAGAGAATATATCCTAGTGTTCTTATTATCCTAGCACTCCTATATGCCTTGTAGCAGATTCACACCTATTCTGGATATCTCTCTTCTTGCCTGCGTCGTTACATTATACAGAAAAACTCGTCCTAGCTAGTAACAGCCTCTAAATAATATTGCAACTTGTTTGTTTTAGATTACGCCTAAGAACCTAGTGGAATTAGAGTTAATTTACTACACACTGTTATATCTAGCATTCAGCTATAGTTAGGATACTAGAGATCTCCTAACAACTAAAGCCTTTAGGTTTAGAACTTCTAAGACAATCACGTCTAGATTACTTTAGAAAAGACGCGTTAGATAGCGCCAAGGTAGAGACTAGGAGACTACTAACAACCCACCTAAATTAGAGATAATACTAATGTTAGGCAGCAACACCCCTAGTTCTAAGGAACCTACAAGAAGATTAGCCTAAGTTTAGAGTGCAGCAAATAAGGCCTCTAAACTACCCCCTAATCTAACCTTAGCAGCAAAGAATATAGCTAAAAGTAATTAAGAAGTAGATTTAGACTTAGATAAGATAGACCTAGCAAAAGAAGTTACAAGACTTTGTGCTAAAATCTCCTAACTAAGGGCTTCCTAATAACTATTAGACAACCTACTACTAACTACTAAATTAATCCTAATAATGTCTTAACAGCTATTATAGTTCTAGTCTAAGACACCCCTAGACTATAATATTAGGCGAAAACTTTCTAAACATACCCTAAAGATTAATAATCTTAATAATAGAACTAGTCTAACCTTTAAATAATAGCAGGCCTCTATAAAAGACTAATTAGAAATTAACACAGATCACTATTAGAGCAAGCGCGCTTAAATGGCCTTAGTATAGGGACACACAACAGGCCTAGCCAAAGAATATCTAGAGCCTCAGTATCTAGCTAACAGTCCTTTAGAGTTATTTCAGGACGCTGAAGAGATAATCGCCCTTCTTAAGTCCTATTTCATCACAGGAAATAAGAAGGCTAAGAGTAGAGCTGTATTTAACTAGCTTACTATAGACAAGAACAAATCATTCCCTGCGTTCAAAGCTCGTTTTCTCAGTGCAGCTATACATAGACAAGTACCTAGAACAGAGTGGTTCCACTACCTATAGACTAAGGTTACCTTGGGACTTTATGTGCCTAACCTAGGTTTTAAGAGGCAGTAGAACAATTTGTTTAAACTTATAGTAGAGCACTTAACTGCGTTTAATATAGAGCAGAACAACCAACCTAACCCTACAGGAATATTTGGACGTTCTAGTGCCCCTCTAACGTAGAGCTAAAATTGTTTTGCTTTAGACACTGCTAAAAAGGTCACACCTTCTAGAGATTACAATGCTTCGTCATTGTATCAACGTCAGCCAAGCAGAGCACCATCCGTACCTGCTCTGAGGGCCTTCTCCAAGACCCCTGGACCTGTCAAGGAATCCACACCAACACCAACACCTAGTAACTGCTATAACTGCGGTAAGCCAAAACACTATGCTAATGACTGCCAAGTCCCACGCGTACGCAAGATTAAGTTGGCTAGTGATAAGGACCTTATAGACGCCTCTAAAACACATAACTACAACACTAATAATAATAATTAGACAGGAAATAAAGAAGCCTAGGAGGAGTTCCCTTCCTAGGCCTAAACTATTATAACTTATCTAATCTTAATTTATCTTATTTATTTAGTAGTTTATATTTCCTTATTAAGTCTATTTTGTGCTTAAAAGGCCTTAGTGTCTGCATTAACTTATTAATTAATACTAGAGCTTAAGGACACCTTTTTCTTAACTCTAAAATTACTTCTTTAATTTCTTTATCTCTTTAGATTCCTATCTAAAAGCTACCCTTTAAGATTTTAGTAAAAGGTTTTAAGGACTAGATTTTAACCCTAGTTATATAGTATATCTAACTCTACATAATTATAGACAGTAGAAAGATACACAACTGTCCCTTTGTAATTATAGACTTAGGTTTACAAGACTGTATTATTAGAATCTAGTGGCTGAGAAGATTCAAGCTCTAGCTAGATTTAGAGCGTTCTTGACTTATTTAGCTAAACTAGTACCTAGCTGTTTATAACCCTACTCTGCTAATACTTATGTACCTCTGTTAAAACGTTGTATTGCAACATATTGCTCTTAATATTTAACAACGCAACAACTTATAGGAACAGGATAAGTATTAGAGAAACTACAGCACACTAGTTATCTATTAAATTAGAGGATTACTCTACGCGCTAAAAATTTAGAAGTTTACACCTCCTATAATTCTAAGTTTACCTCTAGACATACAGCAACTAACTCTTAAAACCCTACTAAATCCTTCCTCTTTACCTTCTATTGCTCTTATTTCTGCAAATATGTTCTATTTTAATATAAAAAGAAAAGAAAATAAATTCTTTACAACTAGTTTGTATAAGATAAACTAACTAATTTTAGACAAGAAACTAGAGGATAACCCTAAGAATGCTATGCTTATTAATGCACAACTTCTAGCTTGTTATAACCTATATTAGGATGTGTTTAGTAAAACAGCTGCTAAGGAACTCCCTAAGCACTAACCCTATAACTACAAGATTATATTAACTAAACCCCTTCTAAACAACTTTAGTCCTCTGTATAAGCAAAACCTAGAGGAACTAGAAGCAACTAAGCAATATGTGCAGGACTACCTTAAGCGAGGCTAGATTAAAAGCAGTAGCAGCCTGTTTACCTCTCCTATCCTGTGTGTTTGCAAGTTAAATAGCGATCTGCGCATCTACGTAGACTATTAGAAGCTTAACTAACTAACTTAGAAAGATGCGTATCTAATACTACGCATAGACAAACTGCTTACGTAACTATCTAAAGCAAAGATCTTCTCTAAGTTAGATATCTACGTAGCCTTTAATTAAATATAGATAGATCCTGCCTTAGAGGAGTACACAACCTTTTAGACTTGTTATAGAACCTATAAATATAAGGTACTACTATTTAGATTAACTAATAGCCCTGTAACCTATTAATAGTATATAAATAATGTTTTAATTAACTATCTTAATAATTTTTATATTGCCTACCTTAATAACATCCTTATCTACTCTAACAACCCTAGGACTTACTAGTTATATATTAAAAAAGTTCTAGAGAGGTTGCAAATTGCAGGACTCTAGGCTAATATTAAGAAAAGTAAGTTCTACATTATAAGGACAAAGTATCTAGGTTATATCCTCAC